CTCTTAACACAATCCTAGTAGGAATAGGATAGTAGAAGTTGGCTTGAACTCTACTTCCTTAATCTTGATCCACAAGTAGCCTAAAGAGTTGGGATTCCTTAGCATGTACAGCTGGAGTTATTATCATGTAATCACAATCCCAATAGGTCTCTAATTCAGATTGCAGCTTAAAATCCCGTGCTCAGACCTCTGATCCCGAACAGCGTGTTGCAGCATCGTGCTGTAGCATCTTCTGTGTCAACTTCGAAAACTGCAGCAACTCTAGAAGTCTAAATAAAATAAACCTCTCCTAACAAATAGAGATTTCTACCTAGTAAAACACCTAACAAATATGGGATTCTATTTTGCCAAAAGATTAGCCAACACCATGGAACTAACATGATGTTGTATCTGTAATGGATTAGGGAGGTTTTGAGTGTCAATTCTTTTTAGTTTAAGGTTCAAGTCAGTTACATTGTCCCCCTGTTGAATTCAAAGAAATTACAGAGTAGAATCGAATGTCAATTCCAGTGCAACTACCGTTCATCGCAGAAGTGGCAGGTCAGTTTTGATTCAATCTTTGTTGCTCAGTTGATGTCCTAAACTGCAGAGCATCCTAAACTTTTTTTAGATGATTAATTGCATATGAACACTCAACAAAATAATGAAATCTTTTTTTAATTCGTTTTAGAAATTTCAACTAAAAAGTTAAAGATTCACTACGTCAAAAACAGATGCTGACAACTGTTTCTTTTAGTAGTCTCTCGGTGCTGATTTTAGTAGTCTTCCGAGCAGCTGTCTGATATATTTACAGACTACTGTTTAAAAACAATTGTGTAAAATAGTTGACGACAACTGTTTTGTAATATTTTAGAGTACCACTTTTTGGTGTTTTCTTTGTATGAGTAAGACATCTGTTTTTTAGAGTTAAAGATAACTGTGATTTTTTGTTGTCTATTTATAATGAATACTACTGTTGTTTTTAACTTCAGACTCTTAATTTTTGGTGTTGTCGTTCAACAATATAGACATCTACTTTAAAAAGTAATTGAAAAATATATCAGACTGCTACTCGGAAGACAACTAAATAAAATTAGCATCAGACAACTGTTATCTTTTGTTGTATTTCTAGAATATGAACTACTAACATTATTCTTATTCAAACTGCTGTTTTTTTAGTTGTATATTGATTATTAATACAACGATGTTTTGTAGTTTTCCTTGAAGTATTCTAACTATCTTTTATGACAGTAGTTGAATTGTTTATCAGACAGCTACCCCAAAGATTACTAAAGAAATTTGTATCAGACAACTATTATTTCACATTGTATTTTAAAAATATGAACTACTATTTTTGTAGTATTTCAAACAACTGTTTGTTTTAATTGTCTAAATGTTACTAACACTACGGATTTGTGTAGTTGTACATACACTTTTCAAACTATTAATTTGAATGGTAGTTGAATTTTTTATTAGACATGTGTAATCTTGTGTTGATTACCAAATAAATATAAATTCAAAATACACAATATATTGAACAATATATAAATTCATACATTTAAAATATTATTAGCATGTAATAATTTAATATTTACATCATCTTCCTTAGAATTTACATATTTTACATGTCTGCTTCTTCAATCCATCCTATTCCTATGATACAGGTTGTTGCTCCTACACAGGAACAAGTGAGGAACCCAATCCTTGAGAATCTTCGTGGATTGAACTTGAATCTTCTACCTGCCGGCAGAAACCCAATAACTCTTGAAATGATCATTGTGAATCAAGAACTAATTGTTGGAGACAACCACAGAATGTATAATTGAATCTAATATTAAAAAACAATAAAAATGTGTGAATGTGTTAACTGAATTTGGTTGTACTTCAATCACCTCTTTCACGCACAAATAAACTTTTTCATACAGTTTGATAATAATATCCGTACCTTTCAGAGTCCTTGGTTCTAGTGTGATTTTTCATTCCTCTCTAATGCTTGAAAAAATTATGGCAAATAATCATCAAGGAAATCTGTCAAAATATAGTGAAGGTAGTTAAGCCAAACCTTTAATCAGGATAGAATACAAAACACCATCTGATTAAAGTATGCCTACATCTATTCGGATAGTCTTCAATGCATCCAATGGATAGTCTTCAATACATCTATTTGAATTGTTTACACTATACTCTAACAAATTATTCTGTTTAAGATTTTCACTCTATGTGAACATAGAGCTGAACATATTGATGCTTAGATAAGGACCCCTCATTGAATCATTATCATACAACAGCAAGAAAAAATTTAAAATATATTAACTAGTTTTGTAATCCTTATTCCTATCCAAAAAATACCTTGAACACACACATCTTGGTGAAATCTTTGTTTATTACTTTACCCAAGTTCTTGCTATAATGGTTCAAGCCACCATAACAAGCTATTATGGAAGAGAAACATATCAGAAGGTAGCACACGCCAAGCCCAAGACAGTCCTCAACAGAACAAAAACAATAACAAAGAACATGAACACGAGACAAATAAA